AAAAATTTAGGCTGCAAACAAAAATTTTAGAGCTGGTTGAATGAAAATCAATTCAAGGCTAATTTAAGACGCTTCTAAGAAAAATGCTGAGTTTACAAGCCCAAACAGAAAATGACCACTGTCACAATTCAGCTTAAAAAAATGATTGATTCTTTTCTCTGCCTCATTTCCGTGGTTGGAGCATGTCTGTGGGTGTAAAATCACAGCAGTGACTCTCAACATTGAGTCCTCAGTGTTTACAAGGTCAAGGGCATATGTTCATCACACCAATCAGCGTCATGTTGCTAAACTTCTTTTTGAAGGTAGGGAACAGCACCTCTGAATAGGACTGTTTAACTAAGATATGTCATAAATCACACACATACAAAAAAGGACAAAGCGAGAGAACGTGAAAAGGTTGGTAAAGACCCAGTGCCATAATTTAGAACAAGAATAGAGAAAGATGGGCTACAAATAGGAGGGGAATCATCACTTTTACACCGAAAAGCAATGTAATGGTTGAGATTATTCGGGGGAAGGGAAGATGTTCATTGCATTGTCGCTACTGTTCCTCATCTGACTATCACACTACATTAACATTAACTTTTTCATACAGGGATTTCTGTTCATTATTTTATTACTCCTTCACTTCGCATGCCATCCTACAGTTTCGATTAGTTGAAGACAGCTGTGCCAATATTGGGAACTGCAGGGATTGTTAAAGTCCTTCTGTTATAATTCTGTGGTGTAGGCTAACACCAGCTGAATCTCCGAAACTACCTATCACTTCCTTATTCCTATTTCAGCTGCCATATAATTGTTGCCCAGCTGAATCACGTTTTTAGTCGTGCTTTCTATTTATTTTTACTGATTTTGTTCAGAAGTTAAAGCATTAGTCTTGCCTCGGAGTTTCGCTCTGAGATGTGAACACACTTTATGATTGGTCTTTAGGGGAGAGAGTGAAGCAAGCAATGGAGAAAAGCACACTGGATTCTTTCATGTTATCCTCTTGCAGCAGTCACTTCTGAGAGACCGCCAAAAACTCTAATCTCAAAAAAAAGGAACATCGACAAATATCATCAACATAGGTCTGGCTGTGGTAGCACAGGGAGCTGGACAAAATAATTTAATTCAAAATTAACATACATTCAAATATCTGTACCCTACTTGTAGGTAAAAGAGTTAAAGATAGTATCTCAAACAAACAAATTTCTACATTACCGAAATTTCTACTGTTTCATATTTGTAGTGCTATAAAATGACTTCATTTAGTATTTGAAATATTCCACAACAGGTTTAATGTTTTGTGCTACATCTGTTTACAAACAAGAAGGTGAATTTTTGGTAAAAGCTGCTAAATGCTGGGGTAATAACATAATCTAACTTTGACGGACTGATACTAACTTGGTCTTTCAGTTTTGCCCTGCAGTTATAAAAACTGTGTTTCCACAGAATTTAAAACGTCATCGTCATCATTATGTGTCTGAATTTACACATTTTTATTAGGGAAAAGAAAGTGACGCTGAAAACTGTAGACTTACTCTTTGCAATTATATCTATCTCATTCTTTTGTCCTGATACCCAAATACAAATGATAGTCGTTATGCACGGTTGAAAATACTGATCAGTCATAATTATTTTTTAATATGGATGGGTGAACTACAAATTAAGCTCTTGAACCTGTAAGTAAGGGAAATGAAATTGCCCTTTAAAATTTTAACCAGAAAATCACTTATATTGGATTAAAGCGGAGCCAGTCACCCAAGGATCACTGGCTCTGAGAGCAGACTTAACTCCAGCACTTTGAAGGTATTAACACAGGGGCAAACAGTTTCTAAGACAACGTCCTTCTACATGTGACGCGCTGACACAGAACATATGAACAAAGCAGCCAGATTTCCTCGTGAGAGTGTCATTATGGGGCGGGTGGAACCTCATTGAAGGAGGTGGGATATTTTCTCTGGACTATGAAGAAAAACCAGGGGTCTTTTCCAGCCTGGCACAAGTGTGGTCTGTATTGTATATGTGGGACCAGGGAACAGCTTTAATCATGCTACAAGTTAGGATTAAGGAAGAAAACAAGAAAAGTTAACTTCAGGTGAAATTAAAGACTGAGAAATGATGTGAGTAACGCAAAGACCTTGCCAAAGGTTATTAGCAGGAGTAAAAAGAGTGAAACACTAACAGCGATAACCGACGCACTAGCAAGTGGTGTGCATCTCCATGTAAAATATGTCCCAACTCTCTTTATCACCATTTCCCCTTTAGCCCATGCCACCACGATCTCTCATGGGGACTGATGCCGTGGCCTGCTTCTACCCTTTCCTTCCATCCATTTTCCTCACAGCAGTAAGAGAGAACGTGGAAAACGTAAATTAGACCATGCCACTCGTCTGATGCTTTAGAACAAAATCCAAATTCCTCACCATGGCCTTTGCGCCATCCTCCTCTCACACCAATTCTCTCCTCAGCCACCACGACTTACTCCTTAACTCCTGAGAAGTTCATTCCCAAGGCCTGGAATTCTCTTCCTTCGGATATTCCCAGGGTTCCCTCTTCTGCTTCATCTGGCCTCTGTTCCAATGTAAGGTCCTCAGAGAGGACTTCCATGAGCACCCTACTTGACATAGAAGCCCCCCAAACCAAATTGTTGCCTGATGCCTTACTTCACTTTTTACTTTATTGTATTTATCATTACCTGAAACTTTATATACATACACACACACATACAGACATATGTGTGTATGCATGCCTGTGTGTGTATATGTAAATTGTTTTTATATATATTTATATACATATTGTTTTTTTATTCTGTCTTCGTTTTTACTCTTTTATTGGCTGCCTCTTGTCTCTTCCACTGAAACATACTCTTACAAAGGCAGAGAACTATTTTTGGTCTCGGTAGTGCTACATTAAGCTAGCTGTAATTATTACTAGTTTTTTACTACTTTTCACCCACTTTATGCTAATTCAGTATAACCTTTTAATTATAATTTAAATTCTATTGAATCTTCCCACAGGGGAAAGGTATTTTCATCTAGAAATTTAAAAAAATGCTGATTTGTTTGATAGTAATGTTGTAAATTGACAAATTACCATTTTGTCTTGTATGTATTATTCTATTAGCTTGTTTGGGGCCCTTTCCTAAGAGTGGTTCACTCTTGCAGTAGAGGTGAAGATGAAAACAGACCCTTATGTGGCCTCTTGACAGCCAACGATGTGCCTCTACCTAAGGCTGCAAGCCTTTTTTTTTTTTTTTAACATGAGTCCGTCTTTAATATTATCACATTAACCACTTCAATTTGCTCAGTTACCTATGAGTAGGAAGGAGGGAACTGTATAAAGAGATTTTTATTAATAGATGTAACTTTTTTTTCAGAGATCTTTCTTTCTGCCTTTCCTTTTTAATTTTCAGCAACTTTGACTTAAACATAAGAAAGATTTCAGTTTTTAAAACTTTCAAGTAACACAATCATCCTTGAATTTAACACATGTAGGAATGTCAAAAGCCTAACCAACTGCCTCATAAAGATGAAGTCTCTTAGATCTTATTAAAATTATAACACATGACTGATGGCAAAAGACTCAAGTCTGTTCGAACACACAGTTGTGTGTCATAATAGTACTTCTATTCATTACAACTACCTGAAACCAAATTAAGGCTAGGATTCCCATCAGACACAATATATAGCAACTCCATTTCTATGAAGTTAAAATTCATACGAAGAATGAAAGGTCATGCACAGGCAAACTGCAGCAGATTTCACTGAAAAATTAGAGGACTGTTTCAGCCTTCTCAATTTCTAAGAATAGTAAGGCTATTTCCTAGATCCTGACAGATTTGAAATTGCCATACCTTTTCTTGTGGCCATCTCTTATTTTTCGTAACTCAAGAAATATCTATGTCAATTTCCTGACTGAGCTCCTAGCATGTTATTGAAAGAAAAGTTATGTATTTCTTTTCATGATTTCTTTGTGATTTCCATACCCTTAAATAAGCTTCATCCTTTGCAGTGAAAGAGAATAAAACAAGGCTGTTAAGCAAGAGAAGATGTAATGGGGATCTGATGAGAATTTTGTCCTAAAACATAACTCTTACAAGTGCTTGAAATATAACTTCTGATAATTTACAATTTATCCTGCTTGACAGCATTGCTGTGTCCTCATTTACACTAAAATGTATGAAAAGTGATCAAGGCATAATTCCTTGAACTTCATGGTCAATAAGTTCTCTTAAGTAATTAGCAGAGATGTAAAATAAAACAAACACACCCAGAAGGATTCTGCTATCAAGTCTCTAAAATACCAAGTGAATGTATTTAGAAAATAAAGGAACAATGTTTGGATATAAATATGAAGTAGGTGGTCACAAGACATGAGAAAAACAGGGAAAATAAGGGACACCAGAAGAACTGGTGAAACTGGTCAAATCATGGATCCTACACCCTTTGCTCGTGCTTTTTTTTTTTTTTTTTTTGCCCCGCTATTGGCCTGTTTTACACAGGGGTCCCTGGTTGGCATAAGCTGGATTTATAAGGAGGGTTCTTCCACTTCCTGGGTAAAAGAGGTAAACATTTCCAATGTTATATTAAAGATATTAATATTAAAGAAAAACTGAAACAAGTCACATAATCTGTAATAATAAGAATGTTTACGTTAAATTTATTCAGTGCTGTAGGTCAATTATATCTCAATAAAATGGGAATGGAATAAAAGAATGCAGGTTTAGGCATCAGTCAAACACAAATTTGAATTTCATTTATTAGGTGGATTCCTGAAGACAGGTCATTTCAGCTCCCTGAAAGTTACCTCGTCTGTAAAACAGAGATAATACCCATTTCACAGGTTGGTTACGAGGAAGTAATAGAACACCTGGCGCAGCCTGGAATATAGGTTCTCAATACACGGTGATTTGGTGGTGGTGTTATCATTATCTTATAGTTGGTGTTACATTTTATTTTGGCCCATCTCTGCACTTACATCATGCAATGAAAGACAAACTCCCTAAAAGCAGGACTTACCCACAAAGAGCTGACTGTTGAGCTGCAGGAGGACATGCCCATCAGCCGGAGCGGGTTGCGTCCTTGGTGAGAGCTGATCCACTTGAACAGATGCCTCTTTCGTGTTCCTCTCAACCCTAACGTGGTGCCACTGGTTGTCGCTGAAGTGAGTGGGTGACTGCACCGAGATTTCAAAAGGTCCATTCCCCACATCGAATGAAAATGTCACGACTGCAGGAGCTGGAAATGTCAGACATGAAGATCGTTCACGTTAGTGTGTAGTCCCCGTGGTGGAGAGCTGAGTCTTCAATATACTCAGGAATAGCACCATAGCATCAACGGTCACTAAACATGAAGACAATGGTTTGAACTCTATGGAAGGAACCATTGATGTCGGCACAGAATAGATGTGGAATGAGACAGTAAAATACATTTGTATTTTGGGGAAAAAATGGATTCTAAGAAATTCATCACCAGAGTTAATTTTTCATGGTGATAAAAATGAAAGCTATTTAGCCAGGGCAAGAAAACTAAACAGCATCTGGCATTTTATATAAAAATAATTTTGACAGTGATTCAAAGTTTATTTAATTTCAAAAGCATGCAATATGCATTTGATATCAAAATACTAATAGCAGTCTAAGAGGATATCAAAACAATACATCTGGTTGATTTAATTAAGTAATTTTGAAATTAACTGAGAATTTGGATTTTTAAAAATTTTTAATTTTTTGAATTTAAAAGACTTAAGTTGGTTCTAGAGAAGACTAGTAATTTCCCCAAATTATTATATATGTTAAATATCAAGTAATTTTCTTGCAAAAACGCTATCTTAATATCATAGTTTTTTTCAAAAGGACACAATGAAAAGATTCAGCTGATAAAGTAGAAACATAGTACTTTAAAAATTAGTTAAAGAATTTACTCCTAAATAGAATCCCATAGACTTCTAAGGAAAAGAAGACTTACAGCGTAGCTCTATCCGTATAAAATCAGTAATCCCCAGGTTCTCTAAAAATACCCCAGATGAAGCTGTTGTCTTAAAAAAGAAAGACACGTCTGCACTAAGTTCTCCGTGGAAAGTAGGAAAATGAAGGTATGAAGCCTCAGTATTGAAGGAAGCTGAATTCCAAAATAACCCTGTTTTTTTTTTAAGGGAAAAATAAGAAAGGAAAAAAAATTCATAAAATAAATGACATAATTACATTTTCTTTTTTTTTTTTTTTTTTTTTGCAGTTTTACTCTTAAAATATTGCTCATTTATACAAACCTGCTTTTCTTTTGGCTGTTAATTATACAGTATACAAGACGTGAAAACATGATTGGAGATTTTACAAGGGTTGAAATTCTGGATTCCTTCCAACATGGGAGAGGAATGACCACTGCAGTAACAGTCTGAAAGTTATATTTCATATAAGAAAAATAACCTGCAGCCTAAATACCAAAGCATTATGATAAGATCTGCCAAACATTAATAGACATTTTTTTATAACTTGAAATTTTAAACACCTACATCACTTTGAATAACAAAAACTCTACAGAAGCTCAAAGTGTTTTTTGTTCTAATACTTCTAACCTGCCTTACGGAGTTACACCATCAACTAACTGTTTTCATTAATGGGTTTTGTGATTTTCTAAACCGAGGCTGGCAGTCAAAATATTCTCATCTAATTAAAGATCAAGACACTACTTACTCTGTGCTATGCTGATATGCTCATGAAAATGCTCTTTTCATTCAAAACTATCTTTTATTTTGCTTATAACAGTGAAGTAGGAAAAGCGTTCTCAACATTTTTTTAAATGCTCAAAATAAGGAGAAAATGTTTAAAAACTGTAGTATAAAGTAAGACGTCTACAAAAATTATGTGGACTATAAAGTAAATTATAATTTCTGTCCAAATACAACTTCTTATTTTCACCTTCCCATTCATTTTTTTGGTTACATCTACAAGTTTCTACAAGTTTTCTTTTGAAAAAAATATTCTCGGTCTTATAAAAACAAAGCATGGAAAAGAAAATACACATGCAGTGGCATGAAGTGACGGAAGTGAAATCCAACTGGATACACGTGGTTGATGAGAAGCATTATCGGAGAAATGAACTACGCATTGCTGCTGCCACCAGCAAGTTGTCGACACATCAAAAATAAATATACATCTTCAGTTTTAAGCAACAGCCATCATATGTACTCACAACACTGAATGAAATTCTACTAAATTATCTTCCTGGAAGAAAGACGTATTGATCCCCTGAAGTTAGAACACAGGAATTTCAAAACAATGTTTTGTTATGTTAGCAGAGAACAGATACCTCGTTAAGTTAAAAGTCACGAACTTGACTTGGCTTCTATTTGTTCCTTAGATTATGATTTATTTTCTATAAATTCTGGATCCAAACAACCAGTGCTTACATCTATTGTATTTTTTCCTGTATTTCCTATGGACCTGATTCAAAAGTCAATCCTCAGCTCGTATGTGGACAATTTTAGAGCTGAGTTTATTCAGCTGCAAATATACTTAGAGGGCTTTTTTTTCCCCCTACAGCCAAATGAAACTGTATATTTTCTGAGTATGTCAAACTTTGCCCTTATTTCCATTTTACAGCTATTTCTGTGCCTAGACATTTTGCTCTCTACGAAAGACAGCAAGCAAAGCAAAATATCAAGCCAGGGGTAATAACACATTAGTGTTCTTAGAAGTGTTTACCTGACCTATGTTTAGAAGGAATTAAATGCCTTTCTGTTGAAATGTGTGAACATTAAAATAAAGCTGTAGCTTTAAATTATGGAGTATTATTAAATCTTGCTCATCTGGAGTGATTACTAAGAGGAACCCTCAGAATTACTTAAAGATCTAAATTAGATATTATTACTATAAGAACATAATATCCCACTTGTTTCATTTTTATATCACAACTAACCCAATAAAGCATCGTACAGAGGGCTTCCGGGAACGGGCTGAAACAGAGGAACAATTCTTTGAATTGCTATTTTTACAATGAATGCTTCTACAGTAATGAAAACAATTTATTACCTTAGGTAGTTTAAACACTCACACACACATAGAACCACATTTATCTAGTTAGCAAGCCTTATTTTACAGACTCACAATAGGTAAAAAAATGAAGTAAGAACACTTTATTGAATTAAGAAATTGCTGCTAATTCACAACAACTATAAAGACAGGAAAGGCCAATATTTCCAAATGATAGCTCAGCTCTTTACAGACTGTGCCAGGAAGCACCCAGGAGGCTCTGGGCTGCCTCTGAGAAAGGAGGGGCAAGAAAGAGGAAGCGGAGCAGAGCCCAGCAGGCAGACACCAGCCAGAAGCGGCAAGTCTTTTGAAGAGAGGATTTCATGGCTGGGGTGGATTAAAAATCCCTCAGCTACGCCTGGAGCAGACCAGAATGTAATCACTTACTATATGAACGCTCTTTATCTTCCCAACAAAATGCCATTTGCAGCAACATGGATGGACCTTGAGATTATCATATGAAGTGAAGTAAGTCAGACAGAGCAAGACAAATATCATATGATATCACTTATATGTGGAATCTAAAAAATGATACAAATGAACTTATTTACAAAACAGAAACAGACGCACAGAAACAGAAAACAAATTTATAGTTACCAAAGGAGAAATGTGGGGTGGGGAGGATAAATTAGGAGTTTGGGATTAACATATACACACTACTATGTATAAAACAGATAATCAACAAGGACCTACTGTATAACACAGGAAACTCTACTCAGTATTCTGTAATAACCTATATGGGAAAAGAATCTGAAGAAGAATAGCTATATATATATATATGTATGTTAAAAAACCATGATGCATTATTCTAAGTAATTATTACTAATAATTAATAAAAGTAATTAATAGTATATTCTCAATTAAATTCAATATAGGGTACTAGAGATTTGGAAAGATTCTTTCAGGGGTACCACTTACTTATTAACTTTCCAGAATTCAAAAGAAATTGTAATGAATAACGGGATCCATATGGTTTTTTACATAGAAAAGGAAGATGTACTAAGTATTTAATTCCATACATAAAGTAAAAAGAGCCCGTATAGGAAAATTAACTTAGTAGAATATTAAGATTACAAGTAATTTTTAAAATATCTGTTTTGCTAAACTTTTATTTATATCATTTATTAATGATAATGATTCTCCTTTTAAAAGTAACAGATTTATAGAGACAGAGAGTAGATTAGTTGGCTGGGAAGATGGAAGGATTGAAAGATGACAGGGGCTAAGAGGTGAAGAGTTCTTTTTAGGGTAATGAAAATGTTCTAAATTGATTACAGTAATGGTTACACAATGCTATGAATATACTAAAAGTCACTGAATAGTTCACTTTACATGGGTGAATTGCATGGGATGTGAATTATATCTCAATAAAGATGTTTAAAAAAGGACAGTATTTGAAAAATCTGTTGTTTTTTAAGACATTGTTTTACTTTTAAAATCAAAATGCATATGACATGCTAAAACTACCTTTCTTTTTCAAAACCACTTATATGAAGTATGATTGACAAGTGAAAAGCTGTACATATTTAGTGCATACAACCTGATGAGTTTGGTAACACTGCCTTTTTTTTTTATTTTTTTAAAATTTTATTTGTTTATTTTTGGCGGCTTTGGGTCTTCGTTGCTGCGAGTGGGTTTCCTCTAGTTGCGGCAAGCGGGGGCTACTCTTCACTGTGGTGTGCAGGCTTCTCATTGCGGTGGCTTCTCTTGTTGCGGAGCACGGGCTCTAGGCACGCAGGCTTCAGTAGTTGTGGCACGTGGGCTCAGCAGTTGTGGCTCACGGGCTCTAGAGCGCAGGCTCAGTAGTTGTGGCGCACGGGCTTAGTTGCTCCGCGGCATAGTGGGATCTTCCCGGACCAGGGCTCGAACCCGTGTCCCCTGCATTGGCAGGCGGGTTCTTAACCACTGCACCACCAGGGAAGCCCCCAACACTACCTTTCTTAAAAGTGAATAAAATAAAATGAAATACAGAAATGCAAAGGCAAGGGATAGTTTACTAGTCAAATGAATCTTTCTGAGCACTTAATCATTTTAAAAAGCTGGAAATATGGGTTTCTTTAATGAAAACTTTTATTTTGAGATAACTGTAGATTTTCATGCAGTTGTATGAAATAATAAAGATTCTGTGTACCCTTTACCCAGTTTCCGACAATGATAACATCTTGCAAAATTGTGGTACAATATCACAACCAGGGTACTGGCATTGATACAGTTAAGATGCAGAACATTTCCATCACTGCAAGTATTCCTTAGGCTTCCCTCTTAAAGCCATACCCTCTTCCATCCTGCCCTCAACCCTTCCTTAACCCTGGCAACCACTAATCAGTTCTCCACTGTCATTTGAAAAATGCTCTACAAATAAAGGCATTTACTAATAAAGGCTAATGCTCAAAGGCATTAGCCTTTGAGACTGACAATTATTTCACTCATAATGACTCTCTGAAGATTCACACAGCTTGTTGTGTATGTCAATAGTTCATTCCTTTTATCTGCTGAGTAGTATTCCATGGCATGGATGTTCCACAATTTATTTAACCATTCACTCGTTCAAACACATCTGGGTTGTTTCCAGTTTTCAGCCATTAGAAATAAAGCTGCTATGAACATCCACGTACAGGTTTTTGTACAAATGTAAGTTTTCAGTTCTCTGGGATAAATGCCAAGGAGTACAATCACTGAGTTGTATGAGAGTTGCATGCTTGTTTTCTATGAAACTGTCAAGAGTTCCCAGAGTGGCCATATCATTTTACATTGCCACCAGCATGTATGAGTGATCAGTTTCTCCACGTACCTACCAGAATTTTGTGTTGTCACTATTTTCTTTTTTAATTTTAGCCATTCTGAAAGGTGTGTAGTGATATCTCATTGTGGTTTTAATATGCGTTTGCCCAGTGGTTAATGACTTTGAGTATTTTTTCAGGTGTTTAATTGCCACCTGTATTCCCTACTTGTTGAAATCTCTCTTCATGTCATTTACCCATCGCGTTCCTGGCTTGCAGATGGTTGCATTCTCACCATGTCCTCACATGGCCTTTCCTCTGTGCACAGGTGGAGAGAGAGAGGGCTCTCTGATGTCTCTTTGTCTTCTTATAAAGACATGAATCCAAT